AAGGGCCAACTATAACTAATATAAGGCCTGCCATTTGATACAATAAATACTTTTGCTTATTTGTATCATTTTACGTGCGTCGAAAGTCAAACTCTTTACGATTACTATGCAAGTCCTCTACCAATCACTTCTTAGTTGAATATATCATATTTTAGTATAGAGAGTACGAAATGCAGGTGGTTATCAGAAAACCAATGACAAAATATTTACTTATTAAAACTACTGGGCTCCTAAATATGCCTTCACTATAGTTAGTAATTAACACCAATAACATAGCAGCTGCTGTTGTAATTCCCTAATGAGACTTTAGGACATTAGTGAATCTCCACATTTTTCGCCACTGGTAAATTCAAAGCCAATCTAATGTGATCTTTCCAACTGTATCGACGGGAGAATGTAAGAAAATGGCCATAGAACTATATTCTAGCAGATTCATGATGTGTGAAGAGCTTACTCAGTGGGTTCCAATGGAGATTCCTTTGACCCAGTGTCAGCCTAAAATATTTTATCCTACAAGCTTATTGAGACCCCTACATAAACTATTTTCATTAAGAACAAGGGAAAATTGGACCCATATTAAGCAAAAGAAGTCACTGCGGTGGGTATTTTAAGGCTGAAGTTATGAACAACAGCACGTGAAGTGGATTTATTCAAGAACGCAAAGTCAAAATTATCAGATGTAATCACACTTTTACTGTTCATAATATCGGTTAAGTTGTAAACTTTGTTTACGCCAACGACTTAAAGTGCCTTATCCCCGAATGATATCCCAATCTTTGCAGTAATTTCAGCGTTGGCAAATTTTGAGGAGATTTTGAGGGTTTGGTGCTCTTTCCCAAATTTAGTGATACGTGTTTTTTTCACCAGACATGAGTAGTAAAATTCCCAACCTTCTAGGTAAAAATAGACCTCCATGTGTCTACCACCCTTACGAATGAATTTACTAACGCGTATTTAATATCAACTCTTTATCAATATTAATTTAATTTACTTGTAGATCGGAATGTTAAACCCCCCCCCCCCCCCCCCACCCAGTATTCGCCAGTACAATTACTTAGCCATAATGAAAAGTTATATATATTTCTGACTCACTGACATTGCAATGCACCTTAAATGAAATCTAAAATGTTCATAAGTGTGTATGCGTTAATGCAATTTATGGTGTGTTGATCACCTATCTGTCAGCAAAGGAAATTGCCGACATGGATACATTTAAATAACTTTCTAGAAATCCGTCAAATGGATATTACTACATTTTCAGGCGATGTCGGTGATTAAGGTGCATCGATAGAGGTGCAACAGTAGACTACAGAAACGATTGGTAGTAATATAAAACTTTTTTCGTGGATAAAGGCTGACCGGTAAGCATATATATTCCACCGACCCCCAATGATTAAAGACAAATAAGTCAAAATAACACTAAGAAGACCTCTGCCTCACTTTCAGTGATAAATGGTCTGGTTAGAGCCAGCCAGAATGAAAAGAATCGCGTTTTGTTTCCAGTAGGACAGACACAACTTACAACATACGATGAATTTCGTTCAAAGGACTTTTGTGAGCTTTATTCAGGGAATCGCTTATATTTAACATTTTCTCTCAATAGAAGTAAAATATTTTCATTGTTTACTCAGTATCCAAGCCATTTTCCAATGTTGAATTCAATATAAGACAAAGTGGCGTAAGTGGAATCAAATTATCAATTAAAATATTAAACCTTTATTAGAGTTAAATGTTTTAATGGACACTTAAAAAATGTTGGCTTTGACTCTCAAAAGCTGAACGCAATTGGCTGAGTGAGTGATAAATGAAAACTAAGCAGTGTTTGGCACAATATGTTAACAAATTCTATAGCAAATATCAAACCCAACCAATCACTGCACTGGCTGAACTTGAATATTGCCTTATTGCCCGCGTTTTCAATATCATCGGTGGTGATGACGGCTTAGAATCTCCCATTAGCCTCCCTCTTGTCCACTGCATTCGAGCTTTCCGATCACGATCCATAGACACCCTCCCTATGATATCCTCATATCTGAGTGGTTCCATTAGTGAAATTCCTTAATTGTATTATTCGGTACATCATGAATATGAATTCTTCAATTATCTTCATGTCCTCATTGCCTACTTGAAATTCACCTTTTTTGGAATTTTACTATTTGTGGAAAGTGAAATCATTTTGCTCTTTGCAGATTTTTAATGACCATTCGTTTATCTTATATTGCATAATTTTTAATGGTATTTTAGTATCAACAATTTATGCAAACTGGGGTGTGCGATAGACTGACCTCCACGTGGTGCACCCTGGGCAACGTATACTCATAAGGCAAAAGAGTCTATTAACTGGCAATCGACTACTGACTTCAAACTACCATCACCCCACTGTATGTCATATTCAACCGCTTCAACAGCGCTCACCTCACCTTTTTTTCTATTTTTGTATCTGCCTCTTTTACATCTTTGAAACACTCTCCTGTCTCCCCCCTCTCGACTTTTTTTCACTTCGGTGTTCCTCCTCCTCTCTGTGAAGCCTGAAGTCAACCAAAGGGCTTATGATAGCCATCAAGACGCCTGGCATTTGGTATAAATAAATAAATAAATTTATGTAAACTTTTGATATTTATATTTCGTTCCAAATGGGTTAGTTTAAAAAGGCTCATTTAAAATTGACCTTTTAAAAGCATTGTTCCTGAATTTTTAAAGGCCGCAGAAACCTAAATAATAGGCAATCTTCAATTGATTCTATTTCAACGAGCGATATGAGATCATAATGTGGGATTGGCGTCTTCAGTTTGAAGGAGAAGACTGGGTCAAGACTCTACTACGTCCAGAATATAGGTGTCAGTGGATAAAAATTTTTGCCTATTTACAACCGCTAAATCGCCTCAACACTGAGAAATTTGAAAGACTGCCAGTTTGATTTGCTACATGCCAATCGTTTTCCTTTTTCATTTACACATTTGCTTGACACCTGAAGGAACGCAATCTATCAATCAAATTTTTTCAACTAATGGAAAGTTGTCCGATTATTTCTATTTATTACCAGGTATATATGCCGAGATTGCTTACTGAATTTCAAGAAAATATAAGCAGTTAGGTATTTATTTTTTGGGGTTCCATTCGTAAGTAGTTACAATACTGTTAAAAGAATTTCTAGTAATCTCACGTTTCGCCTTTTTGTTCATTTGAGGAGTTAACTGAGTAGAGATGATATGATCTAATAGGAAATTGAATCAACCGCTTAAATAACTTTGAATGTGATCGATACAATCTATCCACGCTAACTCAATGGGCATGTATATCTGAATAAATAGACCTCAAATACGCTTCAAATGGATGCCCTAGCTTCACAAACTCAGAACATATTTTTAAAAATAAGTAGTAATATCATCATCCTTTTTCAAAGACGGTGTATATTATGATACGATAAGAGGATTTAACCCATTGAAAGTTCGAAAATATATATGCGCCTGTAGTCCAAATTGCTTTCACGTACTTGCCACATTATTTTTCCACTATCCGCTTAAAATTATTGTTTTTATCAAGTGAACGAACTACCTTCTAGTATATTCTCCATTCATGGAATCTCTTGACACATTTGTTGTGCACTACGCATGAATCTTCTTAGCAGTGTGAGAGTGTTAGAATAGGCCTCCTTAATACACCTGGTGGTAAAATGAAGGCTTTGCCTAAACCGCAAGTGATATTTTAGATTCTGTTATGCAAACTACAAATCTTAGCCTATCCTAATTAATAGCTTCGTAGCTATGGTTGGTAAGGGTGAAATGTACCTACCCACCTTTTCAAACTTCGGGGAAACCTGTTGCGCGAGCTTTATTTCACTTTCAAATAAATCTTTATGGGTTAGGGTTTATTTGTAGTATTTGGTTGCATGTTATTAAGAAAGTGAAAACCAATTCAGATCTTTACTTCCAATACATCTAACAAATTATGCATTTGTCCACATTTATAAGTTCCCGTTGACTTAAGCGTCTTGAAATATCTCAAACTAGAAATGGCACCACAAAGCTCAGGGTACAGTGTCTTGGAGTTGCTTTTATGTTCATTTCATCAGATGCTCTATATTCAACAAATGTGGATTGAAAGTAGACATTCTTTGCCTAGTTATTTAATAATACTGAAGGTCATTATTAAAGTCTATAATTTAGGTCACCTATTACATAACAAGTGAATGATTTTGGCATATTCAGACCCGTATGTATGCTCCTCTCTATCAGAGGATAGTTAGATTGCCAAATGACTTGGCAAAATATCAATATTAACTTATTTTACTGTATTCCTTTAATCAACTTAATTGATATCAAAGCCAATTATAGCAAGAAAGGTGAATTCTAACGCCTCTATTTCATATTTTTATCAAAAAATTTGTTAATCATAATGGGATCATTTTCTCACAATCTTTTATGTCTGAATACTCTACATTACGAATAATAGGTCGAATTAAATCCTAAATTTCTATTGCTTGGTTTCTTGCATAAGGAAATTTGTCAGCAACGACTTGACATGTCGCTTTTAATGCATTTTACGAGTTAACGAAATAAATAAAATCATTTACTTGTCAAAAGTGTTAAGAAATTGATTTTGACCGACTTTTCCAAGTGCAATCAAATGGAATTGAAACCATATTGGCAAATGTGTTGTAACTACTGGCGTTAAGATAACTTATATGATGGGATTTGTCGCTTGATTTCTGCAAAAATAACGCATATAATAATATTATCGTAGAAAAACCATCTAATAATTTAATATGAAAAAATATAAGGTCAACAAAACTAAAAATCATGTGGTTTTTATGAAAATGATTAATAACCACTAATTTAAAGAACGAACTAATTAATATGACCTTCGGAATCTTAATTAATTTGTTATCAATAGTAAGCACAAAGTAATAATATTTTTATTTAACTTATTAAAATAAGATTAATTTATGTACACATCTAAGGCAAGTAATCGTGTAAAAAGAAAAGAAATAAACCACAAGATTAATCAAGCAATTTTGAAATAATGCTGGAACGTTGAGCATGTATCATTGCACTGTCCTTCAATTTAATACCAACTGCCTTCCTGAGTAAATCCGGGTAGATATTTTCCACAAACCACGCAAAATCTTTACACTCAAGAAGTTGTCTCAACCTCTGGCGTGAACTAATATCTCCAGCCGGGACTTTGAACGCCTCCTGTTGTGCGGAGTAAAAAAGTGCAATAGGCGGAACACGATATTTTACGGACTTAATTTGAAGACTCCGAGAGGGCTGCATCCAAACTCTTGCAACACGATTCAAATTTCTCATAACTGTGGCCACTTTACCATTTGGAAAAGTATATCCATGAGAGCTTCTAAATAAATGGGAAACACGACTGCATGGAATGATTTCGACTCTCCCACCACACATCCACGCACGAAGACTGATTTCAATGTTTTCCCCTCCCCATATACTCATATTCTTATCAAAAGCACCGAAGGATTTGAAAGGTGAGGCGAGGGTCGCAATCACTGAACCAGCTAAAACTGGAGTGGGTCTTGGGAGACTTAGCCAAGTGAAATTCAGCAAACGGCCATGAGTATTCAACTAAAGCAAAGAAAGAATAAATAGTTCAGATTCATTTGAGCTTGTGAAAATGGGTTATACAATAGTCACGTTATTTACATTATTAGTATGCGTCATGAATTGTCCTTATTACCACTAGTTATGAAGTTGGTGAAACCTTAAAATGATTGAAGCAAACAAATAACTTCGAAGACCCTAAGTATAAAGAACAACAGGAATTTTTTACTTAAAGTTAGTTTCGTTGAGCTACAACCCATCTCAACGGTCTCAAGTATTTTTGGGCATAGGCAAGTGAGTATATTTTTTATTTTTATCAATATTTATATATTTCAAATGGCAGGCGTTTTGATAGCTATCATTATCCCTTTACCTGACTCCGGACTTCACAGAGGGGAGGAATATCATGGTGATAAAAATTCGAGAGGGTGGAAAGAAGAGTGATTCACGGATGTAAAGAGACAGATGGACACAAATGCCGAGAAAAAGTAAGATGAGTACTGTTGAAGTGGTCGAATTTAACTTACAGTGGGGTCATGGTAGTTTGAATTCAAAAGTCAACTGCCGAATAATGAACTTTTTGCCGTATGAATATACGTTAACCAATCAGGCTAAAAATAAAACTTTTTTTGCTTATTATATGCGAAATAAACTGAAGTATCAGTAGTAGCATATATCAATTTATTGTTGTCGAAACACGAGATTATGGACATTTGTAGGATGCCTGCCAAGTTTCTGTCTATAAGCACACATTCGCAAAATTAAAACCGAGTACCGTAACCCAATTAAGGTATGTTAGGAGATCACTTCTTATAGTCTGTCATATTTCCGACCTTGTGAAGTGTTCAACACTACCGAAGCTGAACAAAGAAATCTCATGTTCACTCCCAACAGTCACGAAGGTGCGCCAATGCTACTGACCGAGTAGGATACAAATATGAGTGTGTGAGTGTTGAGACCTCTCAACCAACCGGCAACTCAATAGTCGCTGAGTCGTTAATGTAGCCTTAATTGTATTTTAATGACTATGCTTTGTGGCAATGTCACATGATCACAATAAACGCTAATCACTCCATACGCATTGTTTCCTCGATATTGTCCAAGTAGCTAAGACAATTTTGGGAACGCTTTTATACGAAGGGATTTTGCTCAAGGGATTGCTGAGGTGTAGTCGAAGCCTGTGTGTAGCACCCACTATCCAATATTATTGCACAAAACGAAGTAGAAATAATTGTGTGGATGTGTCATATGACCTCAATTAATTTAAATCGATATATAACCAAAAGTATCTAATCGAGACAAAGAAACCAGCGATATAAAAACCTGCACGTATAAAGAAATGTAAATAGTGATAATTAAGAATAATGCACATTGTGCAACAGATCTGACGTACGAAATGCAAATGTATGTTCCACACACCTCCTTAAATAAATCACACACGATCTAAAATCTATTAAAATTGTGGCAACAGCAGACCATTTTCACTTCTTCCGTTCTGCTAATAAAAGTATGGAGGAAGGTATTATTAGAATACCATGAATAAAATAATATTGATCTAAGATGAAAGCATCTGGCAGATCTATTATTTATCGAAGTTTTTGTGCAGAGATTTGTATTTGAAGATTATCAATAAAATCGTATCTGACTCAAGGAAATAGAAAATGTGCCTATCTCTAATTAGGGGAAAAATGCAAAGTTCTGTATCCTTTCCATCACAAATTTGAACATTTAAATAGGTGATAAAATCTAGCTATGTGGAGAGAATCAGATATTGGGTTACACTATACTATTGATTTTTTAATAACCGGATTCTTTAGGAGCTATAAAATAGTACATTAAAATTAAAAATATACATAATTATTATGATAATTTTTTATTAAAGGTATATTAACCGTTTATTTAGTATTGATTTCGGAAGCAAAATTATGATAGAATTTTAGTAAAAAGCACGAAACACTATCTTTGTACCAAAACAATTCATTAATACAATCGGAAATAAACTTTTGCTCACCGAATCCTTTTCTTCATCACTCATGGGCTCCCATGTAAAACTGAGATCCCAATTAAATCCTCCTCGAAGGTATTCAGCTGCAGGATATACCAGATCGTCCTCAGTAAAGGCGCTAATAAACGGACTTAAAATCAAGAGTCTTGGATTAACTTCTTCACTTTCATAAGAAATGAGTCGAATCAATAGCGCCTCTAGCCAATTAGGCTCAAATTTAATGTGTGAATCGGAGAAAATCAACACTTTTCCAGAAGCCAGATTAACTCCAATTAACCGAGACCTAATAAGACCCTGTCGTTCCCTATTCCGAATAAGTGTGACCTATACCAATATGGAAAGGTTAACTTTTATGGACACTAGACTTTATTAGAAATAAAAACTGCGTGCTTACCTGAACATCAAAACTGCTTGATTTAAAATCAATTTTTGGGTTGCTATGATCGTCAACTATTATTATTTCTTTAAGAAGGCCGTGGGGTGTGTTTTCAAGAAGGCTTTTGATCGTATTACTCAAAATAATCTCCTTTTCATTGTGCGCGACAAAAATAATAGATACGGAAGAGGGTGGAAGGTCAGTAAAAAGTGTTGAGGTGGTGTAACTTAACCATCTGAGGCATTCTTCACTTTGTTTGCCAGTTGTGCTTACTGTAGACTTGGATTTTAATTTCTCATGAAACGCGCATTGTTTTTCAGACTGTATTAGAGTTCCCTGTAGATTAGGCGATATTTGGGCATAGTCGGAATTCAGAAAGGAGAATAGAGAACATATTACAATCACCAATTTTTGCAAGGCTGATGTCATTCAAATGTTTCTAAAAGAACAGAAGCATTTATTTTCCAAGTTTACAAATGAAAAGAATTACATGCAATGTATATTTGGTCATTAGGATATTAATTAACAGTGTAGATATTAAAATTCATTAATAAATATGCGAACACATTAATAAAATTTTCTTTTTTATTTACTTCCATATAATAAATAGCATGATATGATTTTACTACTTAATATATAACAACTAGGAAACTAAATCCCGAACCTTGATTTTCACACATAATATAATCATTTCTAACCCAAAATTAAGCATATTAATCTTAAAACCGAAGACGGTTTAAGTAATATTTGGCAGAGAATTTTCATAAGTTGTGCGAATTGAAATAATATTTATTAAATTGTGAATGAACTTGGTGACATACGTAATAGGAAAGCAAACAAGCTAGGTTAGGCAATCCATTCTCCGCGGTCTTCGTCGGTTGTATTAAGGTTATTTGTCTTCTTGTGCAGTAGCACGTTAAAATCAAATACTTATTGAACACCACATTATTAAATCAATCAAACTGGATATATTATTAGTAGGAAATATTTAAATCACAAATTATCATTTATAATCAAGTAATAATTTTTTGAATATGTCTTAGCATGAATTTGCTAATTTCCATAATATAATTTAATAGAGTATTCAGAGAGAGAGAGAGAGAGAGAGAGAGAGAGAGAGAGAGAGCGAAATTTTATCACTTATGTATTTCGATTTGGCTTTATTAAATCAAAGAAGATGTAGAGAGGCTTGGGACAAATTTGACCTGTTTTCTATTAATTTTCAAAATTATTAGAAATACAAGTAATGCCAATTATAACTTCGAATCAAATAACTTATAGCAGATATAATTAAGTAAGATAAAAAAGCTTTGTCACTAAATTTTTTATTTGATAATTTCTTTATAAAGGTACCGTATTTTAGTTCATCCAACTTCGTATTTTCTCCCTCATGTTAGAATTTTTGAGCATCATATGCTTTCTGTTGTTTTTTATTAACTAGCCGGAGTAGATCAAGAATACGATTCAGCCTAAGTTCTAGATATTTCCTGCTCCAATTGTCAACACTTATCTTGATGCATGACTAAAATTTAATTAATTCCGGCATTTCGCAAACTTTAAGTATGACTCATTTTCTATATCTTCCTTAATTATTTATTGAAGTTATTTAAACCTTTGGTTACTTAAATAGCTACTTACGTCCACTGAATATGCACAAATTAGTACAAGAAACGAGGTTAAATAAGAGTAAATTGAACTGGTATTTATTTTGAAAATGATGGAAAAGATCACAGTTATTCAAAATGTTTCAAAGTAGTTTTTGACCTGTTTTCAGGAAATATAAGCTGGTGAGTGTTGCACATGAGAGTCCAAGATCAAATCTGAAAATCTCATCCCAATCGAGATCGTTCAACTAGAGGAGGAAAAATGTCATCAATAGATCTTGTCAAGAAATTTCAACATGGAACTAGTCAAGGCTTTACCTCAGGTGAATTAATATCCTCAACCGAATTCAGATCTAAACCTCCATTTAATTTCGGCTCACTGATTTGCACTTGATACATATTTTCTTCAGTGCCGTGTAAAGCTTTTATGTATACTTCTTCCATTAATTGTGCATTATATTTTAAAATATTGTGTAGAGTGAACAGAGCGGTGAAATCTAAAATATAATGAGAAGTGAATGGTAAATTGAAATAATAGAAGCCAAAATACCGCGAACTTCACGTTACCTGAATGTTGAATTGTGCGAAGTTGTTGAGCAAATTTAAATCTCCTTCCTCTGGTTGTGTTGTCCTCTTCAATAAAGCTTTAACAAAATCAATAATATGCGAAATTGGAGGTCATTTCAAATGTTACTTAAAACAACAAATCTGAGTTTTTACCTTTCTTGGTTTATTGACAATTGGAAAGAGCCTCTAAAGTTATCTCCAGTGCAATTAATTTCTGAAGAATGCGTTGAATTTTATTAAAACTACTAATTACCTTCTTTCGAAACATCTAACATATGACATACTTCAGAGAGGATTTTATAACATTCTTCTTTTTGTTTATTGTCAATTACTTGACAATCCACTCGCTTTCTGAGCGATTTTAAAATTATCTGAATTGATAATGATCCACCAATGGGAGAAAATGTTTCATTTGTTCTCTTCCAAGTAACATCTCTCTGATTGAAGAATGTCAGTAGTTTGGGGGGCAAGAATTCCAATGCAGACGAGTAAATTCCATTAACGATTTCTTTTATTCGCAGTGTAGAATCTGGTGAAAAAGAACACAGGTCTGGTTCCTTTGAAGTCACTGAAGAAAGCTCATTCACGAAATCCTCTCCGATCTCCGTGACCAGCACACGGTCGATGGCCAAATCACAAACTTTCTGGAATATTCTAACGGCAGAGTTACTGCAGTTAACTATTGCGATCAAACTTACGAAATCATCCGATTACCAATGAATTCAACCAGAGCTTCAATCCAGACTGGTTCAGGCAATTCGTTATCAACTTCAAGAACTCTTATATCACTTAAACTGGAAATATATATAACAAAATCACGTTGATAAAAAAGTAATTCTACCTTTCAAACAAAGAAGTGAGGATGTTTGTGTAGCAGTTATTACCAAATTCAGATGTGGCAAATATCTCATAACACGACTTGTAAAAATTAAATATTGACTTCCGATTAAAATCAGAAGGACTAACATCCTTCCACGAAGTGCAGAGAAGTAGTGGCTTTAGAATCTCACCATTATTGAAGAATATTATCTAAATGAGGAAATAATTGATGCAATTATGGCTTGAAGAGGTCATGGTCAAATAATTCCGCATAAATCCGCATAAATCAAAATGAAAATATCAACTAGATGGACAGTCGAACTTACAATTAATGCACTCAACGGATCAAAGTAGTAATTACTTCCAAAATGGTGCAAGGTTATCAGAATTCTAGGAAAAATCGTAATCATTGAACTAACAGGCCTACTCTTGAGTCTCTTTGGAAGCTATGTAAAATCTCTCAGGGTCGACGATTTTAAGCCAGTTGTTTGGGTTGAACGAAACACGGAAGACACCATTTTCTAACCCAGAATAGAATCCTTCTCCGTGTAGCCTTTAAAAATAAAGTGGGATAAAAGTTAACTTAAAGTGCAGAGATAAATAATTCTGTCAAAAAAATCACTGACCTATTAATAATTTCATTTGGCCCACCGATAACAATTAGACATTGTGTAAGCATCAATGCCGAGCAATGAATATTCTGCAAATCATTGGAGAGAAGGCCATGACCTAGAATTTCAGATTCTGAGTCTGCGCATCGGAATATCAACTTGTGGGTTGTTTTTAGTGCACCCCATATAAAATCCCTTCAATGGTATAAAATGCAAAAGCGTTTATATGTTTCTACTGAAATAATGATATAAGTAGTGTCTAATGTATGTTTAAATTTTCTACTAATTCAAAGTCAGTGACTTACGACATATCGCTTATCTCATTGCTAGTAGAAAGATGTTGATTAGCAACTTTTTGAGCTACAAATTTCAATACTTCAGACACAATACGGGCATAAATTTGGCGAGTTAAACCGGCAGGGACAGCTGAAGAGGTAGTCTTCCAAATTTCATCCATGAAACAGCTCCATTTTTCTAAACTCAATTCATCCTGTGCCTCTTCAGTACTAAGAGTAGAATGGTCATAATATTCAGTGTTAAGGGCTTCAAGTAATTCATCAAATGACCGTTTGGATGAGGTGTCGAGGCAGAAGAATTTGGAATGTCCAATGGCGACTTCAGCAATTCGATCGCCCAACTGACGAATAATCGAATCGAATTGTTTTCCACTTTGGGTCAATTGGAGGATACTAAAGGTAAACCGAATTAAAGATAAAATCATTTGTGTTTTTTTAAATTACATTAATTACTTGATTAAATAGACTATAACACTTTCCAGTTTTTTATTAAGATTAAACTTTCAATGAATTAGCGATTGGCTTCGTACCTGAGTTGTTATGATCTCATGGCTTACTTGATAGTACGTTGAGGATACAAGCAAATCTACTTAAGATTTTTCATATGCATTATTATTCATATAAAGGCATTATAAAATCTTATGTTATTGATAAGCAACCTCCAAAAAATCTACAGAATGCATAATTTTTCATGATCTAGACAACTTATTAAAGTGAAGAAACCTAATACTGCCAGGTCAATGAGAAAACTGTTATGAACTGTCATTTGAAACTCAAAACAATAGATTCTATGATAATACTCGAAAAGGTTTTGAAAATTGTAAGAAATGCGAATGGTACGTTTTACTGATTAAGGAGATTTAAATTATCAAGGAAATCTGATTCGATTCAGCACTTACACTTCATCCAAATAGTCAGAAGATGTAATAGATCTTCCATTTATGGCAGTGAGGTTTGTGTCTTGAAGCGCAGAACACAAAATTTCACAGAGCGTTCTGAGAACCAAAATATCAGAAATGCACAAAGATATCTTTTCAATGTGTTTCTTAACTGTTTCCGAGTTAGTGAAATCCTCTTCCCCAACCATTATATCAACAATTTTGAGAGCAAGCCCAGGCGATTGTTCGTCACCATTTACAAGTTCTCCGGAAAAGAAAGTCATTAAAGGTCTGAACAAAGCCAAAACGATATCGTCAAATGGATTACTGATATCACGGTCAGATGACATGACAAATGAGAGTGCAATAGGTAGCAGTTTATCCATAATTAATTCACACAGATCGGCAATGCCCTGAAAAATTAGTTGGACAATTAATTCTACTAGGGTCAGTTAAGTAACTATATTTAGTTGTTCTTACTGAATTGAAAAGCAGTCCATTAATTGGTAGGCCTACCCCTGCACCAACCGAAGAAAGCCAACTAGTACAGGCGGTAGATATTGTAGCTTGCGTTCTATCAGCAGTTTCACTGATAATCGGGACATCAGAAGTCAGGAATTTGCCAAATGAGGCTGATGCAAAGTATCGCATATTTAGCAGAACAAACTGAACAGATCTTCTTGTTTCTCCCACACTCAGGAAGCAAAATTTAATAGGATTCTCGGCCAGATGTACAAATGAACAGGCTTCAGTAATAATTCTGGACATTTCAGTGGTGAAAGAATTATAAATTTTCTCCGGAATCAATCTTTCAATCAAATTCAACTTATGATTATCCTGAGATTCGAGAAATGAGCCTATAAATTGAATAATAAGTCATAGCAGGAACATGCTTGTTCGACGGTTTTCCAATTCCAAAGGTTTATCTGGTCTAGAAAGTTTTAGCAATGAATATTCAATCCCCGCAAGTATGCATATCAACTGACGAATACTGTCAAAATTTGTTGCGATATCACACGAGGCGATTTCGTTCTAAAATAAAACATAAATGAGGTGAAAATGAAGAAGAAGGATGAGCGATTAAAGACGAGAAAAGAACTCACGTTGAGTTGCTCAATGATACTTGATATGAGAGTAAGGGCATCATCGTTAAAGGGAACATCTTTACGAGAATGCAAATATTTACGAAATTCAGTAAAAATATTTACTATTTCCTCAAAATTCTTGTTAGCCAATTTTACTTCCTCATTAAAGCGATCCTTAAAGTATGAAAATATAATTTGGTCCAGCGCCTAAAAATATTGAAGCCAGTCGAGACGTACATATGCGTTCTGCGTGATAGCACCATAGCAATTTAGCAGCTTCGATAATCTCGAGGAATAATCCAAAACTTGTACAAAATTACATCTTAAATTTTGAATAATTTTATCACAGATAGATTGCTGCAAATAATTAAAAATTAAAACGTCTACATTATGCGCAAACAAATTGGTTACTGTATTAATATCGCAAAATTCCAAGAATAAAGTGGTTGCAAGATTATAACTATCTTTGTATGACATCTATATAACAGACTTCAGTTAAATAAAGTCACTGAACCTGATGAAACAAGTTGAGATAACGAAAAGGCCAAAATTTTGAACAATATTCATGAGAGGTATTACGGATATCTTGCTCCAAATCACTTTTAATTTCATCGAAGTGTTTTGTGGAACTTAAAATAATAGAATAAAAACCGCAACATACTGTAACAAGAAATCTCTTTTTTCGTTCGTGAGAAATAATTCAAAACCTGAAAATGCATTCATCTTCACATAAATTATTATTTGAAAACTCGCTAGCCGACCGTCATCTGATGAATTGCTGGCTTTTATATATACAAACAAATCATATAATTTGCAAAAAATCTCGAAATAATTAAATAGCTAAAGTTTTTTTGTCCTGCGGAAAAATAATAATATTACAATATATCAAATCGAGTAATTGGTCAATAATTTAATTCGTTTAAACTTTCTCAACAGCGCCATATTGTTTAATTAAACTTACATATAACCAGAAATAACTGTTATCGAATTGTGCAGGGATTCATTTTAGAAGGAAAAACTTTTTAATATTGCTAAAATGTTTGCTCACCTTTCTATACGCTAACAGAAAGTTTATTATCGTCAAAGTAAACCAACATAACAGAGGGTATGTTGATTTAATACAGAATTATGGATTTATTTTTCATTATTTATGGATAAGTTAGATCGATAATAGTTTCGATTAATAAGCCAACAATTCAGATTGTGATAACAGCTCTATCATATCTATTCAATATGATTGACTACTTGTCAAAAGTAAGATTTTATCTCCTTGAAGATGATGTTATCTCAAATACAATTTCAATTACTTAGGTTGTTTTCGGCTTGACAGAATTTATTTATTTATCGATTTGATCATATTAAAAGAGCATTAAATATTAGAAATGACTATGGGAAAGGTAGAAATGAACAAACCTCATTGTATAAAACAAAAATAGGGTGAAATATATTCTGGCGCAACATTTTCCATCAAGATAAGTTAAAAACACAAAATAGGAAAGTAATAACAAAGAAGCAGCTCAGTGAAGGAAAGTGGTCATAAAAGGAGTTATCGCACATTTAAATCAAGTTGATCATCTCAGTGCACTTTTTACTAATTAAACAAATTTGTTTCAGTGACCTATGAATGCGATGATCGCACAAAATTTAAATTATAAATAAATTAAGCACGACTTTTTTCGACGTGAAGTCGATTTTATTTGAAATCATCTGTCTGTTCTGACATCGCATATTGAATTTATTGTCTAATTATTCCGTCAAATATGCTGTTCAGATGGGGTGTGCGATAGACTTACCTCCACGTATACTCATACGGCAAAATGTCTAAACAAGCACTTTACTTCTGGCATCAAACTACCATGACCCCCACTATATGTCAAACTCGACCACTTCCACAGTACTCACCTTTCCTTTTCTCGCTACCTTTATGACTGTTTCTTTTGCATCCGTGAATCACTTATCTGTTACCCCTCTCAAATTTTTGTAACTTTAATGTTCAACCCCTCTGTGAAATCCGAAGTCAACTAAAGGGCCATTGATTACTATCATAAATCCTACCATTTAATAAAAATAAATGTTTTGCAGATTATTGAATTTCACCACAATCGGAAAGCATGGCCAACTTTTAATACCTAGTTAGGTTGTTGAATGGATACAATCCCCTGGTGAAAAGAAGTTTGTTTCCTTTCCAGTGCTTGGCTACCGTAGAATACAGGATGGGATAAAGTGAACTGCTCGGCAAGAAGATCGTCAGAACTTTACAAAGTTGCATATTTCAAACATCTACTATGAGTTCTGTTTAGTATTGGACTACTTATGTTACTCGGTAAAATGAGAAGTCAATTGGGTTTTAAATGTCCCTATGTTAGCATTGCATCCTGTGGTTAAGGAATTTCTAACCGATGAAAGTCTGTAACAATGATGATTAATTGTCGAGAAGCGGACTTTTTACTTAAAATTGTCAGTGACATGGAGAACTCTAGGCCACATATTGTTGAAAACGCCAAAACGCCAAAATTCACCATTAAATTCATCTTCGTAATCAGTAAATGTGTACTAAACTCTCAGAAGCGAATCATTTTTTTGAAAATACTATGTTTTGATTGGTTTAAAATCGATGCAGCTGTAGCAGATATCAACTTATTTACAAAACGACCTTTACATTGCATTGACAGAAAGGGAACCATATCGAAAAGTCTGAAAGATAAATAAAAATTATTGGGAGGATTTAATCGAATTAGTTAATAAAACAGTCGTGAGATGTACATTTTGCATTGAAATGATTGAAGATTAACAGAATTCAAGCAAACGAAGTTCTCCACTTTAGAGAGAGAGAGAGAGTTTTGGCTGTTTCTTACCACATTCATTTCTTCAGGGCTATTTAATGCGCAAACTGTCCTGCAAAACACTTGAGCATCTCACTTGAAAGAGACTTTTGTGTCCCATTAACCTTTACGATGACCACATGTTTTGTTGTGAGATTTCTAAACTCAATCCTGCCGCTTTTTTAAACAACAGCCAAGGATAGGGAAATGGCATTATTTGGCAATATCATAGGGGAACCCCTAGACGAGTATGTGGGAGGAAGAATAAGGGGAAAGGCGTCACACTTTCTTCAAATATTATTTTACATTTCGAACCGGTGCGGTTAAATAATCGTGTTAAGTTTGAGGGAATGGTAATAATTTGAAAATTAAACCTCGTTAACTTAAGGAATATTGGACGGATAAATGGAATTTTATTAATGTACTTCAAAGAAATTCACCTTAACGTCCATGGCCAAAATTCTAATAATGTTAAAAATGAGCAGATGCTCTAGCGATAAATTGCCATAAATCTGCTTTGTACTTTACTTTTATTACAAACTTTCTGTGACAAATTTTATTTCTGCAACATATTGTCAACCGATATGATAATTGAACTATGGCGCACTATTCTATAATGAGTGAAATTCAATACACCATCTTTACAAATAGGTCAATTCATCTTCGATAGGTCATATAACTTAGGAGCGATTGCTAATTCATAGGTCTTAGTAATTAATAAGAAAGTAGATAATCGTTAATAGAATGTTTGATTGTCTCAAGTTACTATTGTACAGGGCTTTATAGAAAGTTTTCCTCTGGAAAAGGATCCTCTTTTGAGTAGAATTAAATGTCAAGGTAAAATTAATCAAAATAATTTTCTTGGCTCATCCCCAATAATTAATTCTGTGGGGGAACGGTGTGCGGCAGACTTACCTCCACGTGGTGCACCCTGGGCAATATATACTCATAGGGCAAAAAGTCTATTAACTGGCAGTTGACTTCTCACTTCAAACTACTAGCACCCCACTGTATATCATATACCACCACTTCACAGTACTCATCTTACCTCTTTTCTGCCTTCGTGTCTGTCTCTTTAACATCTTTGAAACACTTTTCTGTTCCCCCTCCCCCTCTCGATTTTTTCGCTTTGATGTTCCTCCCCCCC